TATATGTCTCCTGGAAGACCTATTTCTTTTCTTCTACTTTTACTGGTGTGTATTAAGTATGCAAAAAAGGGTTATATCATATTTTCAGACACCTATATAACACATTTTGATTATATCCACCCTATTATTCCCTAGTAAGATCCTCATCTATTTCTTTTAATTTTTAGTTCTCCTTCCACTGTCCTGATTTTCTTTTTCTCAATTCCAAGAATGACAGGACATGTGATGTTTGTCCCTCTGAGTCTGGTTTATGTAATATCATGGCTTCCACTTTCATCCATTTTCTTCAGAATGATGGAGTTTTGTTTTCTTCTCTTCTGTAGCCATTTAATACTTCACTGGGAGTATGCATTTGTGCACACATACACATGTATTTATGTAGGTGGCACATCTTCCTTATTTATTCAGCCACTGCCAGGCCCCTAGGCATATTCTGTAAGTTGGCTATTATGAATAGTGCCATGACAGACGTGAACTCGTGGCTGTCCCTGAGTTCAAATGTTGCCTTTGACTCCTTCAGGTATATACCCAGGAGCAGCATGACTGGGTCATATAGGTCTATCTTTAGTTTTTCAAGGAACCCCCATGTTGATTTCTACAATAGTTGAACTAGTTTACCTTCTCATCAGCAGTACATAAGGGATCCTTTGGCCAAAGTGCCATACTCCTCAACAGCCATTTAGGGGGTTATTTATTGACAGACAGACAGACAGAGAGAGAGAGAGAGAGAGAGAGAGAGAGAGAGAGAGAGAGAGAGTGCTGATGTGCATATGAGGGTAAAATGACAAATTTCAGGAGTTGATTCTCTGCTTCTACAATGGGGCTCCAGGGATGAAACTCCAGTCCTTGGGCATTGGATTGGTTAAGTGCCCTACTGATCTGTTTTTTAAGTAGCCCATGCTGTCCTTGAACTCATGGCAATGCTTTTTTACCTTGGCTCCCAAGTACTGGGATTATAGGTAGGAAGTACCACACTTGACATCGCTTTTATTTTCTTGGTAATAGCCATTCTGCTTAGGGTAAGACAGAATCTCAGTGTAGTTTTGATTTGTATTTTCCTGATGGCTAAAGATGTAGAACACCGAAACTAGATTCCTACCTCTCAGCCTGTTCAAATATCCACCCAAATAGGTCAAATACTCTAAAGGTCAAACTGAAACTTTGAAATCATTGGGGGGGGGGGACACTCCAAGACATGGGTATAAGCAGACTTTCTCAAAAGGATTGTAACTCCAGTATCAGATTTCCTGCATGTAGTTTATGAGTATGGCTGTACATAAAGATATGAGGATGAAGACCAGGAGATGATGTCAGGAATATGGGACAGTTACCAAGGGAAACTGCAAGTGAGAGGTGTCATGTGTGCTATAATCAGCAGAGCCATAAGGGTGGGACTATCTAAGTCTTTTGGAACCCAGATAATACCACCACTCCCCCAAATGCCAGATATGGGAGCATGGGCATTGGTTTTCCCATGCTGGGTTCAGTCTTGCTTTGGTCTAGTATTCCTTGCTATGTCCCCATTTTCCTCTTTGGAGTAGGGATAATTACTCTGTGCCATTGTATATTGAAAAATCTACAAGTTTGTTTTTTTGTAGAGACTCATAATTAATATATGGCAGCAAGAAATTAAACCAGGCTTGGGATGGAAGTGCCACAGCCAGATTGAGGCTGTGACAATTTAATTGAGAACAATCAGAGACAGAATACAGTGGCAATTGTAGTTGTAGTTGCCAGAATAAAATGATGTTTCCAAGCTATACTGGGTACACAAGATTGATGTCTAAGAGCAATTGTCCCGGCCAGCTTCCATGCTTCCTTGACTACTAAGAGATCATACAAAGAAACACAAATCCTGAATGCTTAACTGCCTGAGAGATTGCCTCAGTTTCTCGGGAACTGAAAGGCACACAGTGCCCAGGAGTGATAGACTCTAACCTGAAAAACCTATGATGCATGCCTCTCAAGGCAGCTAGGCCAGGACCCCTCCAGTGATGTACCTCCTACAGCAAAGCCAAACCTCCTAACCTTCCCCAAACAGTTTCACCAATGGGGGCAAAGTGGTCAAATGCTTGAGGGTCATGTCTCATTCAAAGCACCACAGAACTCATGGGGCCAGGTGCTACTGATCTACTGGCCACAGACAATCCAGTAGAGGGAAAGCATGGTATCCATTTGTATATCCATCGGCGAGCCCACTAGGCTCTGATGGGTAATTCTAAATTCAGGATCACACAGGTATTGCTGGAATTTCTTTCCAGCCAGGTCCTGCCACCCTTCAGCCCCAACCCCTGAATTAGATCTATGGAACACTAAACAAAACCAAAATTAGTGAACAGGGGAAAGAGACATTGGGGAGGGGTGGTACTTTTAGAGGGTGGAAAGGAAATTGGAGGGGAGGACCAGAATACATATGAAATACAAGAATACACGTATGAAAGAATAAAATGATGGCCATAGGCCTATGGGGAAGATAGGCTGGAATGTCAGGGCTTCAGTGAAAAAATGTCCCCCAGGCTTGTGTCCAAACACTTGGCTCCCAGCTGGTAGCACTATTTTGTAAGACCTTCTGATATGAGGGTTACCTGGCAGATGTGCCACCATTAAGGCCATGGAGTGGCTGGTTTCAGAACTAATTCAGGTCTCCCTGACTAGTGCAATATGACACTCAGCCACCATATGCTGCCACCAATAGAACTACCTGGTGCCTTGCCTTCCCACTATAATGACCTGTATCCCTCAGACTGTGAGCCAAAATAAATCCTTCATCCTCATTGCTTTCATGTTCTTGTTCTTATCTTCTAAAATACCCATGTTACTTTTGCTATACCCAAATGCTATACAGCATTCTAGTGCATTCCCCATTACATGCCTATTCCTTTTATTTTAGAATTTTGTTCTTGAAAGTTAAGGTTCTGTTTGAATTTTTCATTCCAACAGAAAATAGGTTTATAAAACTATAAATGCACTCTGCTGGGGGAGAAAAGCTATCAATAGTCTTATTAAGCTAGGGACCCTGCATGCTACACTAACGACCTGGAAAGCAAGACTGTTATAATCAACTTCTTACTGACTACATTTGAGGCCCACTTCACAGGAGGGAATTCATATCTATTACTGCAAACCTAGCCAAAAGCCCATGGCTGAGGAAGTCATAAGCCCTGGAGGTTATTTGTGTTAGTTAATTTTTTGTTTGCTTGGTAACTGAACACAAGCTGGAGTCATCAGGGAAAGCAGAACCTCAATTGAGAAAATGCCCCCCAGGAAAAAAACTGACCTGTAGGTAAGAGTATGCGGCATTTTCTTGATTAATGATTGATGTGAGTGGGCCCAGCCACTGCAGGCGGTGCCACCTGTGAGCAGGCTGAGCAAGCCACAGAGAGAAAACCAGGAAGTGGTGTTCCCATTTCACTTCCTGCCTCCAGGTTCCTGTCTTGAGTTCCCTTAGTGGGGGATTGTAAACTGTAAATTGGTATTCTTTTTAATTTTATTTTATTGGTATTTTGCCTATAAACACGTCTGTGAGAGGGTACTGGATCCTGAAGTTACACCCAGTTGTGAGCTGCCATATGAGTACTGGGAATTGAACCTGGGTCCTCTAAAAGAGCAGTGTTCTTAACCGCTGAGCCACTTCTCCAGTCCCCCATAATCAGTAAATTGAAATAATGCCTTTTTTCCCCACCTTGCTTCTAGTTGTGGTGTTTATCACAGCAATAGAAAGCAAATTATAATATTATTAACATTGCCAATCAAGATGTGCCCACTCGTGAAATAGTAGCATGACTGTTATCAAACCACTTTCTTACTGAATTTGAGGCTCAACTCCACAGAAGGAATTTAAGTCTGGTACTGCAAATTTAGTCAAAAGCCCAGGCAGGACCAGAATGTCACAGACCCTACTACTGTTGCTTTGCTAAAGTCATGCTGCCAAACTGCCTCCTATTTGTCCATACCCGTAGATTATCGCTGCCCTCAGCCTTGATCAGAGAAGCTCCAGTGCACAGCAAACAATGGCTAATGCAGACAAAATGTTGAGAATGACTGCTAAGTGCTTACCCTAAACAGGGCATCCATATCAACCCCTCCAAGGCTCAGTAAACTTTGCAGTAAGAATGTAAAAGCTACATGGGAAGGAGTGATGTGAATGTTATCTTCATAGACTGTTACACCATGAAATGACAGTAATTAACATCTGCACAAGACTTAGCCCATCAACATCTCATCATAAATAGGGGAGAGGGTGGTGAGGTCCTACCCATCTCTCTGGAAGATACAGGCAGTTAATATTTGCTTAGTGGATAATCCTTACTAAGTTGCCTTACTCAAGTAAATAACATGCCCACCCATGCTCATGTAAGCAATTACGTGCAATGGAGAGTAAACACACGTAAACACACACACACACACACACACACACACACACACACACACACTTTAAAAAATCTCTTCTTTTCGGAAGCAGATTCACTGCAAAGGGGTTCAGTGGGAGGGTGTTGGAAATCGGAGATCTGATATATATGAAATTGTGAAAAAATAATTAGATCATGGATGAGAGAGGAGGTCATGAGGCCAACCTTTCCTAAGGAGCTACTGTCAGTTAATGGTTGCTGAGGGAAGGGGTGACATTTTCTTCAGTAGTGTAGCTGCTGCTAAGTTGCCCATGATCCAGTCAATAACCCCTCACTCACAAGTTCATGTAAACAGCTAAACTCAGTGGATCATCAAAACCCAAATACATCAAAGTAGAACTATTTGGGAAGAAGCTCAGCAGGAGTGGGAGGAAGACAAGAGAAGGTGGTGGGGATAACATAATCAAAATGCATTATATTTGTGTATGAAATTATCAAAAAATAATTTTGTAAAGAAAAAATACTTTAAAATGTTCCTGCCCATTTTCCCAGCAACTCTTGTAGGCATCTGTGATCCAAAACACAGTACAAGTCACAAAGATGTTAAGTGCCTAAGCAAAACGCTGGTAATTTAAATATCTAATACAGGGGCTGGCTCAACATGGTATGGTTTATTCAAACAGTGAATTATAAAGCCACTGATTTATTCCAAGCTTTTACAATATACCAAAGTATTTTAGTATGTACTACTCATAAGGTAGAATACAGAATTCCATAACTGAAAAAGACTAGAAAGAAATAAAAAAATAAACTAGAACACTGACATCAGTCATCTCTGCTCCTAATGATTTTCTTGACTTCTATAATGAGCTCTTTAGTCAGCAAAATGACAGACTGTTTTTGATGATTAAATCCAACAGGTACGTTCAAGACTCATTTACAGTTAGCTTCTGAGCAACCAAAAAACCCCACTGTGAACACTAAAGCTAATTTTACTTCCTGGTTATATTTAATTTCCCCCTGATACTAGGACATTTAATTTAAGAAAGAATCAAAAGGAAATAAAAACTTGAATGACAATGAATTATATAAATATATACATATACATAAAGCTAGAAAGAGATCTGTAAAAATGATGACAGGAATTATTACTAGTAAAATTTTATGGCTTTTAAATATCTTTTTAGCTTAGATTCTATTATATGTTCTACAATGAACACATTGCTTTCATAATAATAAAATGTTGGCCATCTTCCTACAAAATAACTGCCAAGCAGATTACAGTGTATCTGTCAATGGACTATTAAAATGTTACAGAAGAGTATTTACTAATATGAAAAAAATTCCGATGTTAGTAGCTGACCATACATTAGACAGTATGCTCAAAATGATCCCAATGCCATTTAAAAACAAACAAAAGCCTTTTAATACATTAAAAAAAACCTACATATGAAATATATCAAAACCTAGGGTTTAGGTGGTAGAATTATAGATATACATTTTAAGCCACTTTTGCATCGGTATTTTGGCCAATTCTATTAAATATGATTTTTTTCTAATATGCAAAAAAAAAGCTTTTTAAAAAAATCTAGGTTAAAAAAGAAGTTACCTTCTTAAGTAACAGGAATAGATGCTGATATGAAGAACAGAAAGGTCCTCCTACTGAGGCTTCAAACTCTACCCACACCAGTGTCAGTCAGCAGGACACTTGTCTTCCAGCTTCATAAGAGCAGTAGGCAAAAGCCATTCTTCCTGCTCATACTTCACCATGCTAGTCTGAATCACTGCTCCCTCAGCAGAGGCCACTGCCAATGACAGCACCAGGATTCTGAAATCTTGTGTTTGTTTCTTTTCACAACGCTGGGAATCAGGTATCTTGGGGCCCTGTATATGCTCGGTAAATATTCACCACTGAGCTACATTCCCAACATTGAATGGAGCCTCTAAGTCAGACCTGGTAGAGAAGGATCTAGAGGGAAAAAAAGTAGAGCTGAGTCTGATTACAAGTAAACATGATTTTCAATCAAGTGATTGTGGAAATGCACTATTAATATTGCACATAACACTCACTAGGGAATTCTACTCTCAGACCTGGTAGAATTCTGAGGTCACCAGAAGACAATTTTCAAGACATTGCCTAAAAGGGTGTCATGTCAATATTGACTAGAAACAGTATCAGAGATGTCACGCTAGAGAAGTAAACAGCTCAAAAGTCTAGCTTCCTGCTTATATAATTTGCTAGTCACAAAGTGAGTCAGCATTCTGATTTAATCTAAGAATTTCTTGACTTTCCATATACTAAATGAGACTACGAAGGACAGCTGTAAAGCCAGAAGACACAGGAAGGACAGAAATAAAAACAGACATGTGTCCTCCAGCCCAAACAATGAGATAGCTATGGAACTAGATTATCAGTTCAATCTATTTCCAGATCGCTGTCTTCACTATGACAGGTGGCAGAGTTTCGCACAGATGTCAGCACCAAGACTTCCTTTTCTGGGAGTAAACCAAATTCCTGTAGGAAAGCTTCAAGGTCTACAGCAAAGAAATCTTCCCCCAGCTGGTCAGTGACACGAACAAAATTGCCAATCAATTCACCCGCCTTGTAAATGAGCAAAGCAGGAAGGGCATTCCGGGTAAAACGACTGCTGGCCCCAATAACCGAACTCTTCACTCGGCAGAATTTGACAGCCGGGTACTCTGTGGCAAGGCAGATCATGCAGCCATTCATGGCTTCGGTCCCCGGGATGCCATCTTCATAAATATGAACCATGATAAGGGTGTTTTTCTGTTCTTTATCGATCATGTCTAAAAACCCTTCTCCGCTGGGGATCTCAAAAACTTGCTTGAACTGGGGCCCTTTCTGAAACTGCTGCCGCATCTCTTCCATTCTCTGTTTTCGGTACTGCTGCAGGAACTCTTCGTCATCCAGGTTCTTGTCCACTGTAGCAAACTCCTTCAGAGTCATCTGCAGGAAGACCAAGGAGTGAACAAAGACAGACACTGAACAGTTTCATGTGGATACGCACCCTGTACTTAGAATACATGAGGCACCATGTTAATGCCTTAGGCACATCATCTCATTTCTCTCTTATGTACAGAGATGTGTTATATGTGTACCATGTGCATGCTGGTGCCTGTGGAAACCAGAAGAGGGCACTGGATCCCCTGAACTAGAGTTATGGATGACTGTGAACCACTAGGTAGGTACTGGGAATCAAATCCAGGTCCTCTGCAAGAACATACACACTTAACCACTGAGCCAGTTCTTCAACACCAACTTTTTCTTTTTTTTAAAACAGGGTTTCCCTATGTAGAATAGGCTAGCCTAGCACACTATATAGAACAGACTGGCTTTAAACTACCAATCCTCCCATTTTAAGGTCCCATGAACTACTAGGCCCAGCTTTTTTATTTGCTAGTCAACTGACTGTAGTTGTCTTGCTTCTGTAGCAGCAGTTGTGGGTATCTTGTAATATGCTTTTGTCTCTAGTTAATATTAACAATACTTTATAATGACTAGGTGTGGTGGGGAACACCTTTAATCCCAGCACTCAGGAGGCAGAGGCTGTTGGATCTCTGTGAGTTCCAGCCTGGTTTACATAATGAGTCTAGGCCAGCACAGTGAGACTCTGTCTCAAAAAAATCAAAACAAAACAATAACAAAAACCATTTCCTCATGTTTCCAAACACTTTTATAAATTGATATACATATGTTATACTTACTCTTTCCCCCAGCCTCATTTCTACTAAGCAAGCAGCTTCCAGTTTTGGTGTACTACAGGCAACTCAACAGGATAGGGACAGAATCTCTCAAATCTGACCTATGTGGTCATATGACTGTTGCTTAGTTCTGATCTCAGTGGCTGTGAACAGCAGACACAGTATGCTACAGCCAGCTTCCCCAACAGATATCTTCTTTCTCCTGGCCTGGTGCAGCAAAACATCTCTGCCTAATCTATACAGACGAAGTACCACACTAGAGCAGAACACTGGGTCAGTACTGTGTCATAACTAACCAGCACCCTTCTAAACTCTGTCTTATTACCAATCTTCTTCTCATCACTCTAACCTCAGACTAGACAGTTAGCTTGGCCAATCTCACTGGGTCTCTTAGCTGATACAGCCTTTGTCTAGGTTGTATGTCCTGAAATCATTCCCTGGTCAAACAATCAACTCTTGGCTTAATGCTTTGTCTGCACCTTTATGTTGTGGTATTTTTAAGTGTAATTTGCCATCACTGTGTGTGCATATGCACACACATGTGAACAAGTGTGCACGAGTGGGTGCATGTGCTTCCATACGCAGGTGGAGGTCAGAGGGCAGCTCTGTGGATCCGGTTCTCTCCTGCACCTTTACATGGCTTCATGGGTTCTGGTGAACTCAGGTCACCAGGCTTGCACAGCAAGCACCTTTCCCCACTGAGCCTTCTCACTGGCCCCTGTGCTTGATTTTTAGCTTTAAGCCACAGCTAATTGATTTCAGGCACTACTGGACATTTCTTCCATGGTCAGAGGGAACAAGAGAGACCTTTAATTTTGATAAGGTTGGAAGGTGTCAGGGACCCTGGGCTCAAATATCTTCTAGAATGTCTGTTCTACTGTACTGCCTCTACAAAATAAATGCTTAAGAATATGATTAAGAAACCAATTATGCTCCACACTTTCAACAGGCCAGTCCCTAAGACGAGTATTTGACCTGCAGAACCCTGGGGAGAGAAGGGTAATGACCTCATTTAGCCAAAGCAGGCTGAGACCAAGCCCAGACTCACCCTGAGTTATGACAGGGCTCTCCCCTTTGCCATGCACTGCAAAGCTTCTCAGAAGCAAACCCAACTTCCTCCCTTTCCTGAATCACCAAGCTCACTTCCAGCACAACAGAAACGTCTGAGGATGCCACTACCTTCCCACTGATTTTCTCCTGGAGGTCCTTCTGCTTCTTTTGTTCCTCCTCTTCATCTAGATTGGACCTGCAGGTCATAGATAGCTTTTTGATCAGCCGTTCCATCTCCCGGCACTGCTCCTCCCTCTGCTCTGTCTCCAACTGCTTGAAGCGGCGCCAGTCATTGATCACACCTTTTGGGCCTGAGTAGGGCAAACATGACCAAGAACAGACAGGGGCTTTGGACCAGCTGACATCTGTAAACAGGAACTTACATCTGCATGAAGCTTGTTCTATCTATGACACAGGAGGAGCATCCATATACCCTTACACAGGGCAGAATGTTCTACATACCGTGAGGTCTACTACAGCATAGTTTGCAAGAATTAAATGGCCAACCTAATGCCCAACATTGTACAAATTATTATTCATCTACCCAAAGGTAAATAAAGAAACATTTAAGAAGAGCAAGGTAATTCTAGACAGTTTGGTGGCCAATACCTGCAATGCAAGCATTCTACAATCAGGAAGATCACATGTTCATGGTCAGCCTGAGCTATAAAAAGAACCTTCCTTCAAAAACCAAGGGCTGGGAATGTAGTTCAGCTGTAGAGTACTAACCAAGAATTTACCATGCCCTGGACTTGATCCCCAGCACCAAAAGGCAAGACAGGGCAGGATGAGACAGTAGTACAATTCATGACATGAAAGATAGTCCAAAAATATTAGGAAAAAAAAACAATGACAAGTTAGGCATAGTGGTGCATGCCAGGAGTATGCCAGGAATCCCTCCCTACTAGAGAAGCTGAGGACAGAGGATCATTTGAGATCAGGAGTTCAAGGTCAGCCTAGCAATATAGTGAGACTCTTCTCTCAAAAAAAAAAAAAAAAAAAAAAAAAAAAAAAAAAAAAAACAAATTTCTTATCCAACAAGATGGCACCAATTTAGAAAGTTGTTAACACAGTATAAGAAAAAGTGTAAGGAAAAATATTGTATTGATGGAAGCTGGGCATTGGTGGCGCATACCTTTAATCTCAGCACTCAGGAGGCAGAGGCAGGATCTCTGTGAGTTCGAAGCCAGCCTGGTCTCCAGAGTGAGTTCCAGGACAGCCAAGACTACACAGAGAAACCCTGTCTCCAAAAGTAAAAATTGTATTGATGGCTGAACTCTAAGCACCACCTCAACTTACAGCACTGACAATATTGAGCCATTAAAGTGGACTAGTGGTAGAACACTTGCATAGCATGAAGGAAGCCCTTGGTCCAACTCCAGAAATAGAAAGTTAAAAACTAAAAACAATACACAATAGTGTAGAAGGCACTGAGGTTGCTCAGCAATAAGGACCTGCAATCTAAGCCTGGCAACCTGAGGAAACTTCCTGGAATTTAACTGCAAAGGTAGGAGAATCAACTCCAAAAAGCTCTCCTCTTATCTATATATTGGCATTTTGGAATATGTGCCCATGCACACTGATCGTGCATATACATGCAATAATAAATTTTAATTTAAAAAATAGTGTACATATGCCATTTCTAGGAACTAACTCTACCAGTACACTCACATGTGTGACTAATGGGTTCTCAGAACCCTGTCCAGCCATTCCCTGCCATGCTGATATACATACAGATTTGCATTGTATAGAGGAAGGGCTAGAAGCAAGCACAATGAACAACAACACTGGGAAGTCTCTGGAGTTGGGCAAAGGAGAGCAGGAGCTTCTAGCTGATGCACACTTTATTGGGCACTTTTGAGCCAGTTTCTAGAGCTCGGAACCTTCCAGTACCTGTATTGATTGAAATGCCTTCGCTGGCCAGCTCAGCTTCCACAGGTATGGAGCTGCTGGCTGGGGCTCCACTGTCTCCGTCTCTGTCTTCATGGTCACTGTCCTCATCCTCGCTGGTGCTGTAGTAATACTGTAGTTTCTCCCCCAGCAGCTTATCATCCAGGGTTGTCATGGTGCCTGCAAGAGGGCAATGTACCAGGGATTGTTTTGCTGGCTTGAGCAAGGACATGAATCTGAACCATAAGAGGTTCACTTGTGCTGACATCCGAAAACTTAAAGAATCTAAAGTGTTTTCATAAGCAAAATTTCAACAAACCCAACCCTGGCTTTACGCCATAGTTTACCAGGCTTCTGTTATAGAAAGCAAAACTGAGGCCTAGATCAAAAATATTTCTTTCCCAAACTAAGCAACAAGATTTAAACAATAATCAAATGTTTAAAGAACATCTAAGACCCAGATATTTGGGGGGAAAGGTATAGTTCAGTTTCTTAAAAGTCTGACGATCCAGCAGGAATAATTAGAAAGAAAAAAAAAAAAAAACTCTGGGTGTAGTAGAACACACCTTTGATCCCAGCATTTCCAAGAAAGAGGCGGACAGATATCTGTGAATTCAAGACCAGCCTACTCTGCAGTGCTGGTTCCAGGATAGCCAAGGCTACACAGAGAAACTGAGTCTCAACCCCGCCCCCCCCAAAAAAGGAAAGAAAGAATACAAAACAGCCTTTCCTCCAAGCATACAACACCATGCTTCAGGAGAGACTTAACACATGTCTTTTACACTACTACAATGTACCTGTCTCCCACAGGGCAGAAACCCAACACAGTTAAGACAGAGCACTATGCAGGCTGAGGGAAAGAAAACTTTAAAAAAAAAAAAAAACAGAAACAAATAAACAAAAAAAAAAAACCCTCTTTGTCAGGGACGCACCAGAAGGTCACAACGAGCAGAAACAAATAAACAAAAAAAAAAACCCTCTTTGTCAGGGACGCACCAGAAGGTCACAACGAGGTCCCTGAGAGACAGGGCCAGAAGAGGAGTGTGCTGAGGTGGCTGAGTTGGCAGAGAAGTACTGTGCACAGAGCAGAAGGTAAACATTAGGAGGGAAGAGCAAGAATGATGTGGAGGATCATGAGGGCAGAGCTGAGGAGAAGGCAGTGAGACAGGCATGGCAAGAGAAAGACTTGAAGAAGAGGCAGGAAACAGGAGGGCAGGGCTGGGAGGAGGAGCAAAGAAGGGTGGGGCGGGGCAGAGCTTAGTTTAGGGACCAGGGAACAGGAGGAGTAGCGCAGAGCGCTGTGAGGAAGGGGCTGAGAAGGCGGAGCATATGGGGCGAGGCAGAGGACCAGGAGGGCGGGGCTGAGGAGGCGGGGCCGTGAAGAGAGCAGAGCCTGGCTGAGGAGGCCAGTGAGGAGTAAACTACAGAGGCGGAGCAGTGTGGAAGACAGGGCAGGAAGGGCACAGTGAGGACGGCGGTGCGGATGAAGGCCTCGCGAAGTCTCGAGGGGAGCCCGGAAGCAGGAATCCAGGGGCCCAGAGGCAAAGTGGTCAGGCCCCGGGCGCATACGCTGCCCCACCCATGTCCAGGCCCGCCGCTTCCTCCCGCTGACGCCTGCAGTTACCTCGACTCGCTCAGACGCGTTCCTCCGGACCAGCAGCTGCAGTCACCAGCAAAGAGCTCGCTGGGAGAAAGAGAAGTGCCTGAACACCCTGAGCGACAGAGCAAAGCTGCCGAGAGCGGACTATGCGGGCCAATCGGGCGGCCTTCCGGCGTCACGGCCGACGCGCGCTGCCCAATCACAAGAAGCTCAACCCGGCGTCTGAGGAGGAGCTACCGGTCCTATTTTAGGACAAAACACTTCGACATTAGGTTTGAACTATGAATTTTGTCAACCTTCCTTTCAAGTTTTGAAAGAAGTTCCAAATGCGTTTTCTTTGTTTTTTTTATCATGTCTATTAAAACGAAGAAATGTTTCAAAAACATTCATTTTGACCGGGCGGTGGTGGCACACACCTTTAATCCCAACACAGGACACAGAGGCAGGCAGATTTCTGTGAGTTCGAAGACAGCCTGGTCTACAAAGAGAGTTCCAGGACAGCTAGGACTGTTACACAGAGAAACACTGTTTTGAAAATAACAACAACAACAAAACATTAATTTCTCAAAGAATAAGTAACCCAAAGCACAGAAATTAAAACTTAAAAGATACAAACACAAGCCCTTAGACAACCAAAAGCTGTATGACACCCTGAACTTGATTATTGGACAGGAAAACAACTTCATGGACATCTAAAGAATTTGAATAACCCCCTCCTATCAAGTAGTATTAGCTAAATAGTTGTTGAATCAATAGTTGCCATAATTTACTACATTTATGCACGGTGATAACCTTCAAAGATTCTAGTGAAGTCAAGAAAGCTACACTATTTTTGCAAAGTTTTGTTAAATCTAATAAGGTTTCAAACTGTGAGCCTTAGTGTGAACAATACACAACTGTGAAATTGGTCCTTAAAAACCGTGCAAAAATTAAATCATATAAAATATGCTAGATTTATATAAAAATACACTGCTTAAAATAGGCCCACGCCTTTAATCCCAACACTCGGAAAGCAGAGGCAGGTGGATCTCTGTGATTTTGAGGTCAGCCTGGTCTACAGAGTGAGTTCCAGGGAACACAGAGAAACCCTATCTCAAAAAAACAAAAATAAAATAAGTAGGCCTTCTAATTTGAAGAGAGAGGTTCTCAATTTATAGTTCAGGATCACCTAAACATTACTGCAAATTTGTCTATGTGCACGTTTTCTTTAGAAGCTATTTGTTCAGGCTATCAGAGACAGCATCCTCCAGCTCCCCCCACCTCCCTAACACACACACCCACCCACACACACACACACACACACACACACACCAATTTAAGGCAATTTATTTAAAAAGCTCCTATGGGAGCTTTTATATTTTTGTTTGCAGAATAAATACCTCATGTTTTTCATTTGTGTGTGTATAGTAGATTTTATGTTTGTGATCTGCTGTAAGTGACACAGCCAGCACTCAGAGAGAGTACCTCTGAAAAAAAAAACCTATAAATATTTTTAATGATATTCCTGAGGGCCAGTAAGATGGAGTTCAATCCCTGGGGCATGCATGATAGAAGACAAGAACTGACTTTGCAAAGATATCCTCTGACTGCTACACAGGGCCATCCCCACCGATGTGAATAAATAAATAAATGTAAAAATGTTTATATGTTTAAATGCTTCAACTTTACTTTTATTCAGTTCTCCCTGAATATGAGGCCAATTCTTCATCTATAGCAATACTTTGTCCTTTAAAGTTCATTTCAGTGCTGCCCAACAATCCTCCACTTCCTTGGGCAATTTCGCCTCTCACTTTAATAGAAGAATTAGTATCTTTTTTTAAAAATTTACTTATTATGTATACAGTGTTCTGCCTGTATGTATGCCTGCATGCCAGAAGAGGGCACTGGATCTCATTACAGATGGTTGTGAGCCATCAGGTGGTTGCTGGGAATTGAACTCAGGGCCTCAGGAAGAGCAGCCAGTGCTCTTAACCTCTGAGCCATCTCTCCAGCCCCACTATTTTATTCTTTATAAAAATATTTCCCTTGTATTTAACTTCCAAGAAATATAAGTGTACCTCTTAGCCATTGCTATAATAAAATACCCCAGTAACACTGTAAGAAAACAACAAACATGATTGCAGGTTTATGTGGCTTAGGAATCTGGGCATGTCTTGCTTGTTGCTGTCCTTGCTCAAGGTTTCTATGATACTGAAGTCAAACTCACTGGAGCATCAGCTGCGGTGGAGCAACAGGGCAACAGAACAGAAAGTCACTATCAAGCTGGCACTCATGGCTGATAGCTGATTTGATTGTTTAACCATGGCATTCTCCATAAACTTCTCTTTACTTTCCCTTGTGTGTGGTGTGTGCGGTGTGAATGAGTATGGACACATGTGCGCATATGAAGACTGAAGACTGACTTCTAGAGTCTTCCTCAATCTATCTTTATTGCATCCATTAAGACAGGGTCTCTCACTGAACCTGAAGCTCCTGATATGGCTAGTTTGGAGAAATCAGCTTTTGTTAGTATCCCATCTCCACCTTCCAAGTACTGGAATTACACAGGTGGGCCACCATGCCTACCCAGCTTTCTGAGATCTGAACTGAAGTCCTTATAGTTAAGCAGCACAAGTGCCTTAACTGCTGAGCCATCTCCCCAGCTCTTTTTCTTTGGTTTTGGTTTGTTTGATTTGAGGTTTGGGGTTTTTTTGTTTTGTTTGGGGGTATTGTTTTGATTTGAGAGATTTTTTGAGACAGGAGCCTCACTCTGCATCCTCAGCTGACCTCCTATGTACTGGGATTACAAGTATGCACCACAAGCCTGGCCTCGAGCACAGGCGTGTGTGTGAATATGTGTGTGTGTATGTATAAGAGGGAGGGGAAGAAAGAAGAGGCCAGGTGGTTGTGGTGCACACCTTTAATCCCAGCACTTGGGAGGCAGAGGCAGTCATATCTCAGTGAGTTCCAGGCCAGCCCAGTCTACAAAGTAATTTCCAGGATAGGCTCCTAAACTACACAGAAAAGAAAAAAAAATCTAAACCAAACACAAATAAACAAACCTAAGATGGGAGCCATGCTTTTATGACCCAGCCTTGTAAGTGGCCTACTACTCTTTGCCTAGGATGCTTAAATTCCTGGATTCAAGTACCAGCAATGGCTTTGGGAGAGTGAGCCAATGAGTCCAGCCCACATTCAGTCAAAATGTTTAGATGACTGTGAAGTTAGGTAACATAACTAAAGCCAGAAAGGTTGGTTGTCACTATAATTATTTTTAAAAGGCAACTTAAAAACTTAAGCGAACTTATATGAAAGAAAGCTGTCAATACAGGAATCAGCAAAAGATAAAACTCAAGAGAAAGAGAAACTTAGAAACAATATGTAAATGTAATTTTATTGTGTATGCACACGTCTGAATTTGGGTTTGTGAGTATTAGTGCAGTGCCCATGGTGGCCTGAGTGTCAGATCTCCTGAAACTAGAGTTAGAAGTGCTTGTGAGCTCTCTGATGTGAGTCCTGGGAACCAACTCTCAGTCTTCTAAAAGAGAAGTACACACTCCTGAGCACTGAGCATTCTCTAGCCTTGTATGGATCCTTATCTATTTATATTAGTGTCACTGTGATCAAAATACCTAATAGAAATAACAAGAAGAGGAATTTATTTTTGGGTTCACAATTTTAGAAGGTTCAGACCATCATGGCAGGGCATATAAGGACATCTGGTGTTCAAGGGACTGGAGCAGCCAGCTCAGCTGACTCACACTTTTATTCCATTTGGGCCCTAGCCTGTGGGATGGAGCCATCATGCTCAGGTAAAGCGCTGTAACACAAAAGATAAAAGGACCCAGAGACTGATACTGGGGTTCAAACTTCAAGCTGAAGATCAGAAAAGCAAAGCAGCTGGCCACTAGTTCTCACTTCTACCTCAGGCTGAAAGGGCTGATCCTGTCTCCACGAGCTCTCACCAAGCCTCAGACTGCAACCTCTCCTCAGAGTGTCTATAGAGAATGAATCCCTAATACTGACTTTTAAAGGCCCTGATCTTATCTTTTATATCCCTCTAGTGCTGAAATCAAAAGTGTGTGATCCCAGGTGCTGAGATCATCTTTGTGTGAGCTGTTTCTTTAGGACCGGAAAAATCTTGAGTAGATTTGGGTGGCCTTGGACTCAAGGAGATCCATCTATCTATCTCTTAATCCTAAATCCTAGGATTAAAGGTGTACCACCACATCCTAGCTTCTGGCTGCTGGGATTAAAGGTGTGTGCCTGGCTTCTATGACTTGTGGCTGGCTTTGCTTTATGAATCCCCAGGCAAGCTTTAATAAATCATAAATAATATATCACCATAATGCGCTATGGAAATACCCTCACAGACAGACCAAGAGACATGCTTCAAGTTGACCGTGAAGATTTACCCTCACTTTGTTCAAAAGAAGCTGCTTATACATGGATTTAATTCTTTAGTTCTTTCAGATGATTTTAGATTCACAAGAGTTTTTAAAATAGGACTGCTTCTATCACAGCATGACTTGAGGTACCCACCTTCCCTATGGCAAGACACATTAGAATGTCACCTTCTTGCCCCCATTGGGTGGTGGGGGTAATAGGTTTGGAGAGCTGGA